GGCATAAAATGTTAAAAAGTTGAGTGTTGAATGTAGAACTATTGCCGCTGTACGGAGTGCAATAGTTTGTACAGTTTAAAACATTTTTTGTTGACATTTGGGAATGACAACTATTACTTCAATCAGGACATAGATAAATCATAATAAGGTTGTAACAAGACTACTTACTGCCTTCATACATACTTTGTGATATTCTCGTCATATTTTTTTGGGGGTTTGGGTTTAAATTTGATATATATTTTTATATATTTAAACTATTTTTTAGCTCCTTTGTCTTCGAAGTCAAGCGGAGCTTATAGTATTACTGATTGTCCGTCGGCGTCCGTCGTCGCTGTCGCCGTCGTTAACTTTACATTTTTGACTTCTTCTTAAAAACCACAAACTGTATAGCTGTGAAACTTTCTAGGAAGGTACCTTGGGTGGTTCTCTCTCAGATTTGTTCATTTCGTGTGAATATGTTCAATTGTCTTATTTATAGTGAATATTTTTGTCATTTTTGGTCAAAAATGCTATTTTCGACTCCTTCTTGAAAACCGCTAGCTCAGATTTGTCCATTTTGTGATGCTATCTTTAATTCTTTAATTTTGATGAATATTTTTGTCATTTTTGGTAAAAAGTGATATTTTTGACTTCTTGTTAAAAACCGCAAATCTGATTACTTTGATATTACATATATGGGTACTACATGTGGACCTCTCTCAAATTTGTTCATTTTGTAATGATATCTTTAATTCTCTAATTTTTATTGAATATTTTTGTCATTTTTAGTAAAAAGTGATATTTTTGACTTCTTGTTGAAAACCGTAAGTCTGATTGCTTCGATATTAAATATATAGGTACTATATGTGGACTTTCCTCAGATTTGTTTATTTTGTGATGATATCTTCAATTCTCTATTTTTTGTGAATATTTTTGTTATCTTTGGTAAAAAGTGATATTTTCGACCTCCTGTTAAAAACCGCAAGTCTGATTGCTCTAATATTACATATATGGGTACTACATGTGGATCTATCTCAGATTTGTTCATTTCGTGATGATATCTTCAATTATCTAATTTTAATGAATTCATTTTGTAATTTTTGCTAAAAAGTGATATTTTCCACTTCTTGTCAAAAACAAAAAAATTTACATATTGTTAATTTTTTAATGATATCTTCTGTTCTTTAATTGAAATGTGCATTGCTAACAGCGGAGCTATCTCACAAGACAGGCTGCTTGTTTTAATTATGAGGCAGTTGGTAATTTGAATTTAACGAATTTAGAAGCCTTGGTAGACAAATTTGCATAAATTAATTAACATATTTTTGTTTTAAGTATATTTACTAATTTTTCTTCTTTGTTTTGATTGGTTGGTGTTGCAAGATATTTGTTTAGTCAGTCTTTTCCTACTGCATCATAGTGTGAACACGTTAGGAGGAAATGTTTTTCATCCTCAATCTCTCCATTCTGGCAAATTTTACATTTTTTTTATAGTAAGACGTGGTTTGTGTATCTGCCAAAATCAAACATATTTAAATATGTTTTAACAGGGATATTAATGTCACTGTGTAAAAGTTGTTTTACTTTAAAACATGCTTTCAAAGCCCTATTTGCTAAATCATCTTGTGCTTTATGGAGCTTGCCTGAACTCCTTAATTTAAATCCCAGGTACGAATAATTAGAAACTTTTTCAAACTCAACATTATTAATATGAAATTTATGCTTGGTGAGTTTTTTTTTTTTTCAGTTTTATTGAATATAATAACTTTGGTTTTTGATATTTTGATATGATATGATGCGCACATCAGACAGAATACCCATATCATGAGGGGGTTCTCTTAGTACATACATCAGACAGCATTGGGGGGGGGGGTATCAAGGTACAGGTGACATAGATGAGCAACAGAAAACTGACAAGCTTAATTTTTTGATCGTTTAAATAATTTTTCTTTTCTTTATTCGTTACATGTGTAATTAATACTTTTCTGATTTTGCATTTTTTTTAGATTGAAAATAAAATTCTTGGTATACAGTGTTTACATCATATCATTAATAATGTGGTAAGTATAATTAAACAGGACCTGATTAATTCATATACACTAGACCTTATTAATCCAACAGGTTCTAAATCATGGTCTATACAATTTTATGTATTCCCCTCTGCAACCAACGATGCGGTTTCATTAGCTCTATACTGATTGGTTCCTTACTACAGTCAAACCTGTGTTAACGGCCACCTGGATATAGCGGCCACCTGCCTATAGCGGTCACAACCGAACAGTCCCTACGAATTTTACATGTAAAGTGATTTCTTTAGTAGGAAATGAGACTCAAACTGCTGCTGAACATCAACTTTACTGTACAAATCTTCAAATAATTTTCATACTACTCATTATTGTGCAATGATCGATTTTTTGTGAAATGATTTTAGTTTACATAATACAATTTAAAATCAACATTTTTATTTGTAATAAAGTGTTTGAATACTGTGTACAGTAGTGTAATAGTGTTTCAAATGGGGTTGCGAGATCCGTTTTAATACATTCAGTGCCTAATTAATATTCATGAATAAATTAGTGAACCTGTATAGAAAGGCCACCTGTCTATAAAGGCCAAAATTTCAAAGTCCCTTGTGTGGCCGCTATAGACAGGTTTGATTGTACTTCATATGAATTCATGTGGTGTTTCATATACAAACACTTCTCACTGTGTGTATTACTTCATATCACAAGATTTGAATGTCATCTCTCAGAATGTTACCAACCCTTACTTTTATCTGCCCTTGACATGTTAGTACATCTAGTGTGAAGCTTCTTTGTTGGCAGTAGATTCCAATTTACTCCAACTTTAAAATTAGCTTCACTCTACAAACACTTTGATGCATTTATTGCCACAATCCACTACAGCTATTCTACCATCATTACACACTGCTACACCACAGGGACCACTCAGTCTATCCTTGTCACTATCAATCCTGCAAATAAACTGACCATTGCTGTCATGCTTAGTGACTTTACGATTACTGCTTACATATACATAATCATTCTTATCTACAGCCACTCCCTTGGGATTACTCATTCTACTGTCACCAGTGGAAGAGAATTCAAACATAAACTGGTCATCAGAATTGAATACCTGAATACGGTGGTTCCAATATTCTGCCACATATACCATCCCTTTACTGTTAATAGCTAACATGTAAGGTCTATTGAATTCTTGCTTATCTCCACTTTTACCAAATGACTTAATATACACACCACCCTGGGTATACTTTCTAATAAAATGCTTACTACACTCACTCACATACACATTCTTAGTAACAGGATTAATTGCAATTCCCCATGGATCATCAATTTCAGAACTTCCAAACATTCTAATCAACTTTCCGTATTCATCACTCACAACTACTTGTTTGTTATTGTTATCTGTCATAAAGTATTCATTATCATCTGATATTGCTACATCCCGTGGATTGAATGGCGTTGCAAACTGACCAGTGAATGTAAATGATTGTTTGTAATTTCCATCGCTGTCATGCATAGTCACTCTATTGTTCCCTCTATCAGCTGTGACAAAGTCACCATGTTTATTTATGGTTATTCCCACTTCCTGCGTTTCCCACTGTCTGTACTAATCGTGTGATAACTGGAATATGGAATGGTGATCCTGGTATATGTTGGTTACCAATCATCATGGCAACTTGCTGTTTTCCTTCCATTTTTCCTGTTATCATCACATGAAAAGTCCCATTTTTATTGTCTATAATGTTTTTCCATGATGCACCAGGGGCACTCACCAGGACAGCTTGTCGGGGAATGATTTGTTTTCCTTTGGAATCTCTGGTTGTGATGAGCAGTTTGACAGGTACACCTTTCACAAGTTGTTCTGGAATGTTTTCAACTGTACATTTGGATGGACAGACATCAGATTTGATCCCTCCTATCAATGCATGTGCAGCAAAGTCACTACTGGACTGGAACTCAATGATATCATGACTGATTGGTGGTATTGTTTCCATAGCAACCATCTCTTTTATGCGCTTTGTAGTTTCTGGCTTGGTAGATAGTAGATGTACAGCATTCCCATGATGCACCAGTGTTTCTAGATAATGATGTGTGCTGACTATGTCGATATGGTGAAATTCTCTCTCATCAATGTTCATTGCTGCATCTTTCAGTTCGATCCTAGCACTTTCATCCAAGGTATCTATCAGCATCTTTTCTTCTCTCTTCACTCTCTCTATCACTTCCTTTGCCCTTCTCTTAACTTTCTCTTTCTCTGCCTCACACTGGTTTCTGATTTCTTCTCTTGTAAATTCAGCTGCTGCTTTTTCTTCTTTCACTTGCTTCTCTTTCACTTTTAACTGTCCTAACATTTCCTTCAGTTGTGTTTTATACTCATCTGCTACCTCCTGTAAGTTTCTATGTACGTGTTCAGGAACTCTGTGTTCAACTATGGTGCACTCAACACATACAGGTACTTGACAAGTGTCACAGTAAAATTTCAGCTGGCTTTCTTTATGTACACTGCAGAAAACTTTGGACTGTACCTTTAGATGACCCCTAGATTGTATCTCCTCTGTACTTGTCAATTGTAGCACTTCATGAGAACGGAGGGGCTGGAATGCGGTCATGGATAGTAACACATACATCACAGCAAACAGAGGACAATCTACACACTGTGAGTTGCTGTCTCTCTGACATGTTTCACACACTGGTGGATGGTCAGTACTCAGCTGCCTCTGTCTCTGGAATGTGTCAAGTAGGCTTGTTAAAAAGAAATTAGACTTCAGTTCCTCGATGGGTGAGTCACACTGAATTCTACATGTTGCACACTTCAAAACACCCCCAGATTTCACCTTAAAAGTTACCAAACATTGCTGACAGTATGTATGAAGACATGGTAGAACTTTAGGATTCTTGTAGATCTCCAAACAGATGGAACAGCTGAGGAAATCCTCAGTAACTTCGTCTAGGAGAGACTTGTTGAATGCAGCCATAGCCATTGTGGTAACATTAGTTGTATTGATTTCACTCCCTAGCATAGTGAAAATTCACAATATGTATTTTCCTCATTATTGGTATTCACAATAGCTGCATGGGTTCAATGCTTTTCAAATCACTGTCAACTTAAGGGGTCTTCTGTATACTCTGGGATTTATATCAAACCCTCGGTGTCATGTGACTATGTTTACAGTGAATTTTAATTCTTGCAGATCTCCAAATAGAACAGCCAAGGAAATCATCATTAATTTCATCTGGGAGGGAAATGTTGAATGCAGCCATATTAAATGGCTGGAGTAATTGTAGTACTCTCTAGGGAAGCAAAAATCAACAATATAATATATGCATTTCCTTATTGCTGTTTACAATGGCTGCATGACAAGCTGGTTTTACTGCTTTTCAAATTATTGTCAGCCTAAGGGGTCTTTTCTAAGTGTTGCTAAGTTACCTCTGATTGGTAGTCCAGTTGAATTAGAAATCTCAGTTGTATGCATTTGAAAAGAAATTCAATTCAAAATGGCTGCCAGAGTAAATTGGGTTGAACACTGTGCCAAACAACAGTCATTGTTTCCATGGAAACAGATTTCAGGTGCCTAAATTTGTTAATTGTTTTTTGTTGTTTATTTGATGGAACCTTCCACTTAACAAAATATAAAATATTTGTTGTTCTTTTAAAGTTTCTGCATTGTTAGCTCAATGGATCCATACATGTAGGTCTATATACAAATACTGTAAATGTATTAATTATTCACTGGATTTTAATTTATAAGTGCCATGGGGTTTTCTTTGATCACTTCATTCTTCAATGCCCTTTGCTTGACAGCCGTTATCCATGACCACCCCCTTTCATTTTTACTCTTCCAGGAAGTCCTTGACCTTGTGTGACTTTAGTTTTGTGGTACCCGCTTATGGAGGGGCAGCACCCAGCCTTTTTATAGTTATTGTATTTTTTTTATTGTATTTTAAATTGAGATTATATGGTATTTTAGTTTAGCTATTAAATATGTAATTTAGCTAATTCAAGATGTTGCTAATTTAAAATAAATTATAAATAAAGTTTGAATTTTATTTTATTAATATTTATTTCTAACAGAATGCTACAGAACTGAAATGGTATGGCAGAGCTATGGTGATATATGAAGCACTGTACAAACAACTTTATTCACAGGAAGTAGTGATGTTGGAAGTACTACTGCCATGTTTAGTAGACTTGCTGGGTGTAATAGAAAGGTCACCACACAAGACTGATGAACCACA